TTCTAAATGACTTTCTCTTATTATTTATAAAACAATTGAATTTTAATCAATTTTTTCTATTCAATTTGATTTATCTAATAGGTGACTTGGTATGTTCTGTTAGTATAAACCTCATCTATATTTTATTAAACATTAATACTAAAGGGGTTGCCTGGCTCAAACTTATTGGCAGAGGAGGGATTTTCAAATATCATAATGATAATTAGATTATGGGATTTGCTATGAATATAAGGAGTTTTTTTAAGCATTATATGTGTACGAATCAACTTCTCAATATGGGAATATCACTTTTTTTAACTTTTGTTTTTGATAAATGTCTATTTCTTGTAGTTACATTTTATAACGCTTGTGTAGTAGAGGTTCACTTTCTTGAATCATCATAATGAACTTTCTTTTGTTGTATTAATATAATTTTGTCATTTTTTCTCAAAAAGAAGAAGAAAATAATAAGCAATAACTTCTTCTTTTTCAAGACATTAGTATTTCTCGTTTCTATTTCAAATATTTAATTAATAGTATATTTGGATCGAGAGAAGGAGAAAATTTTTTGACCAATTAGATTGCAATATTTAAAAATCGTTATAATTTGATCGGTCAAAAAATATTTCCTCCTTACTTGAAACAACTCAGGTTGAAATTTGTTACTAGTCTAACAACTCTTTGGGCTAACTTTAATAGGTTTTCAAAAGCTCAAACTCAAGTTATTAATAGTAATTAACTTTCACAATTATATACTAGACTTATTCACAAGTCTCCATCGATGTGGATTTCATGAGTTTACACCTTCATTTTCTTTTACCCAAACATATTATAAGTTGTTTATTTTCTTTATTTTTGATATTATAAAAATCCTTTTATTTGTATAAAAATATAAATGATACTCTAAATTAATGTATAAAAATAAGCATAAGTACAAATAAAAAGTTTTTTTCATAATTTTTTACTAAAAAACATTGATATATATTAAAAACATTGATATATATTAAAAAATTACACAAAAATATTTAACATTTACTTTTAATTTATATTCAATTTTAAAAATAAATAATATTTTATATAAAAAATAAAATTCATAAAATTAAAAATAAAAGATATTTCATTGTACGTCCCATGCGAGGGCACAGATACTATCTAGTTTAACTAAATTGAAAATCCTATGTAGTGTCCTATCATATAAGGTTTTACATAGAATTTCATTGATTAGATTAATGGTTGATAGATAAAACGTCCAATTAATTTGTTACATTTTCCTTAGTTTTTGATTGAAGAGGGAAAATAATAAGATTACGGACTGGTACAAACCCTATAATTTATGACTAACTATGAAATTTAGCCAAGTAAATAATTTTATGAGAAGAATAACTGAATAACATACTGTAGTGTTTACTTTGACTAACTAAATTTGCTTCAGAGAAATATAGAAATATAGCAAAAAAGAAAAAAAGACTTTGGTCAAGATGCTGTATGAGCATTAGGTTAAGTTATACTGTGATGGTAGGCTTAATCACAAAAATATAAAAAATATTAACTAAAATTATTAAAAATATATAAAATAATAATTAAAGTTAATTATTTTATACTCTTTGTTTATTTTTAATAGATTTAATTTGATTTTTTGATTTGTTAAATAAAAATTTTAAATAAAAATTTAATAATTTGTATAAATAAAAAATTAATTATTATTTACATAATATATTAATTTTTTATTTAAAATTTACGTTAAAAAATTTTTAAAAAAAAATCAAAATACCTCCTACTAAGAATGAAAGATGAAAGGAGGGGGTAATAAATTTACAGCTTTAGAAGGGTGCTATAGAAAATTCCTTGTTCTTGACTGGAGTAGGAAAATAATAGGACTACATTATAAACTGGAATCATTAAATGTATGAGAAGGAAAAAACTGTGGCATTCGCTTTGAGTGGCGAAAGTGCTTCAGTGCGAGTGTTATTTACCTCGAGATGTCTCGCGAGCTAAAAATTCCTTCTACGAAGCCTCTCCTCTCTGCTATAAAATTCATCAACCAATTAAATGGAAATTTTCTCTTTCAGATCGATTCATCCTATCCAACCGATTGAGTTCCGTTAGGTCGTGCGCCACAGCGAATCCTTTTCGTTTGTCCATCTTTTCATATATATCTTGGTGGAGATTCAGGTGGTGGTGCGGGAGCTGCTTTGGGGATGGTACGTAGGCAGTATGATTTGTCTATTTTGTTAGATTTTGACCTAAGTATATGTGTACTAAAATATATGTGTGTGTGTGTGTTTGTGTGTTTGTGTGTGCGGGGAGGGGGTGGGGGTTGATGTTTGGCTATACATGGTGCTGGTTTGAGGGAAATGTCCTTGTGTTTTCACTTTTCATATGTATTGTACTAATCCATTATACAGTAGTAAATAAGAATGTACAATATGTGGAGAATAACACTAATTAAGGGTGTGATCTTGTGTTGAGCCTCTCTTTCTTAATTATTTGGAGATGCTCTTTACTCT